AAAGGGAAAATCCCGGCACGTTACTCTAGAAGAAACCCTCTGAACAGTGTGACCAGATGCTAGCGACAGTTCAGTCCTATTCCGCTCTGCACTCCAATTCCCAAGTGCTGAGTCCGGCTCACCGCCTCCTCCTTCTTTTCGTTGGCGCTGTCGGTGACGTACTGAAACAAATGCCTCACGAAACTTTAGTTTGCGGCGGAATCAACGACACACCAACACTGGCGGAGGAGTCCAAGCACAAACACGGACACGGATACACAGACACACCGACACACACCGACGGATACAACGTACACCGCCACAGATGCAGAGCAACAAGTATGAATGAATGAGCGGTGGCCGATGCCGCCTCTTTCGACGATTCTGCCGCCGTCGGCGTCGCCTGTAAGTGTGAGTTTGCATGTAATGGTTAACGCCACACAATTGGGGGGACTCGGAGTCGGGGGCCTTCGGAGGGGGGAGGCATCTGAAATTTTTTTAGCTCGCTCTGTCTGCTTTTGTTGTTGCTCCGCTGTGTTCTGAAAAACATAGCAAACAAACCTCGCACATATACATGCTCGCAGACTCTCTTCCCGACTGCCTTGAAAAGCCTAGCTGCTCGGCGGCTTTAGTGTGCGTGAGTGGCGTCTAAGCACAGCGAGAAATTTTCATTAACGAAACGATCGAAAGCAAAATGGCGGATTTGGCGAAGGCAATCATAACGGTTATTTGCACTGTTCGCGCTTTTTGAAGAACCCATTAAACATTAGTTGGTTATAAAATGAATAGGTAATAATTTATATTTCTATTTAAATACAACGATTAAAAATTCCATGCTTCACAAACCTTTGACGTTTTTACATTCTTTAAGGCTTCAATTGTTTATCTTTTGAAATTTATAAAGTTTAAAAAAATAAGCTGATTGATAACCTTTTAAAAATTAAATCAAAATCTGCTGTACAAATTTAATGAGCGGAGTTTAGGAATTGAGTTTTCATTCAGTTTTTCTGAATGTCCGATTGATTATTTTGCAATTAACCTAGTTACCATTTTAAGAACCAAGCTCTGTTCTTAATGATGAAAGCGGTTTCTTGAATTTCTTGTTATGAAAATAGAATATAACAAATCGATTGCAACTTTACTGTCTTAAACTGACACCTATTATTATTTCTACCGTTTTACAGACCTGACTTATGAGTACATGCTCATGTATTATAGCGTGTAGCCCCAAAGCAAACAACAATTAGTATTAAATGCTACTATTAATAAGCGTCAAACAAGTTTATTTTTATTGGTTTCAGCATTGTAAATTGTGCTGGCGATTGTGTAAAGGTAAGCGAATTGATTCAAGGTGTTTCTTTTGATGCAATTATTTCTTTTTGGATGAATCGAAATTAAAGAATGAAATTGAGAGATTGGTTCAATCAAATTCAGGTCAAAGAAGGTTTTTTAATTGCCAGAACTCCTTAAATCTGTATTTAAATGAATCTGATTTACAACCGAAACATTTTTCAATACAGATTTTTTTCATAACTACAAGCTGGAATTGAAGATGCGAACTTAGCCACTTTCGGCTCAGTGTAAAGATTCACACACATACGCACACGATCAAAAGGCAGCCCGAAAAAAGCAACAAAAAAGCCCAACAGAAATCTGACAAAAAGAAGAAGAACAAATTCCTGTGGCAGAGGCGCGCGAAAGACGACTTTTCGGGGGAACGGCGGATTGGGGGACTTGGGGAGCTAGTTACGCATACATTGAATATACAGATACAACACCAGTCGTACAACACTGTGCCATATGAAATATGTAACATCAAGCTCATATCACAAGCGAGCGACAGCGACGTTGGCAACTCACCGACACAAAGATACAGATACAGATACGGATACTACGAGTTGTGTGTGTGTGCGGGCGAGAGGGTTCTCGACTGCGTGTGTGTGTGCCATGGGGGCACAATTTCTTCTAGAAAATGAATTTCAGATCAAATCATATGGCACCCACCCTCCTCGGGGTTGATGAATGTAAACAGTTACAAATTAAAACCTTAAGTACACCCTTAATTTAGCTGGAAAATATTTTGTTTGAGAGGATTTTGTACTGGGCCTGCAAACCATTTCGGATAACACGCAACTCAGCAGTCGCTGCAATTATGAATTTGATCCTAAATGCTTCGAGTTAATTAAATGCCTTAATAAGAGTCCACGTGCTACTGCTGACGTAATAATACGACAACTCATAGGGGCGTGCACAACATCCAATACCAGTCCATAAAAAATAACACCACACAGTGATACTTTGTTGTTCCTTGGTATTTCACTTATTTTTTCGGAGCATTTCTCACACACACAACCAAAAAGCCAAGACTCTCGCAGAAAAAAATTCGCAAATTTCTACGACTTAATAAATACAATAAAATAGCGGAATCCTCCAAAAGAGCTCCCAAATCGATTCCAATAAATACTTTTAGCCAATTCTGGAACCTATGGAAAGGTACTAGAGGAGCCTCAAGGATTTCCGCATTCCTCCCACCCAAATTATTAGCCGAGAGCGCATCACGTGGTCACCCAACCCCCAAAAACCCCACACATCCCCCCATCAAAAACAAAAAAACAGTAATCCTCTCGCACAAACACACGCACAATATTCACAATCACACAAGAGAGGCACCCGAAATTAGCAATAATCTCGCTGAGAGCGAAACTCAAGCAAAAAAATATATAACAAAAATTAACAACAACAAATGGAGTACAACAACAACAGCGGTCGAAAACAAAATGGCCGTCAGGTGTAGAAATTTCTGTCGACGTGTTTAGTTCCAGATCCAAAAACTTTCGGCCATTTTGTCTCCCATTTGCAGTTGCATTTTTCAATACCCAAATCACACAAAAAAAAAAAATATAAAATATGCAGTTAACTGTAAATATGTATATAAAGTCTATATAGCGGACGTCTACAAAATGGCGTCTTTCCAGAATGGCGCCGATTTTGTTCGTAGTTGAGCCCTGCAATAATATTTTCGCCATTTTCGTTTGATATTCGATCGGTTTTGAGCTGGAATGCATCCGAGAAGCTCCATACGATATCGTCACAATAAAGATTTCCTTTGCAATCATTTTTGATAAACAGTAAATAATAAACAGATAATCTAGGCCTTGTTATTGCCTGTTTAATTGGGTTTCTCTATACAAGTTTAAAATTTACATTAACCCCTACAAACTCCTTTGTAGAAGTTTTATATAAACAACCATTACTTTTCAATACCAAAACCTGTAGGAAAATAGAGGGGCATTATGAAATCTTATATGTCAAATACTAGTAAATTTATCACAAAGTTCAATTGAGGGTTAAAGCCCTTATACACAAATGAATTGAGCTCGAATTTCAATTAAAACTTTCCACGTTTGTCAATAAAATTATAAGTTACTCGAGAGTTGCTCAACGTTGCATCACAAATAATGACGGCGGCTGCTTGATTTCACAGTAATTCTTCAAGGCACTATAAAATAATTATTCTTATTATAGTTTTTAGGGGACCAAAAATGATTGCAATTGCCTTAATCAGCGAAAAGACTGTCGGCTTGAGAAGGAAGTGTCGCAAGTTGGCCGCATAGTTACACCGATTAGGCATTTAATCAAGTTTGACCCCAATAATTGGCATTCTGCAGCTTTTGGCTGCACGTACACCTCGTTTGCATCCGAGTCCGAAAGATTCGACGGGCGACAGCCTCCATTAAAATGCCCCACTAACTGCATTCCAAGAATTTACAAGTCAAAGATCGAATGTGCGCCGCTCAAACGATAGTGCCCCGCCCCCTCAGCCCCCTCCCAGCTCCCCCTTTAACCCCCTGCTGCCCCTGAGCATCATCAATAGCCAGATGCATTGTGTTTTTTCTTTTCGAGCGGAGACTGTGGGTCCAGGGCCACCGCCAGCGATCAGCAGACAACAAAGACTCAAATTGAATAAATAAAGCGCAAGATTTATGCATACGAAATTAATAAATTGAAATATATGTACAATAAGTATTAGGCGCCAACAATGAGCTGCATCGGGCATTTAATTTTTATACCCACCCATCTCCCCGGTGGAGTTTATCAGGGGCCAAGGCCCGAAAACCGAAAACTGAAAACCCGAAACTGAAACCGAAACGAAGAAAACAACAGGGGAGATTAACACACGCACAACTACAGTGCGAGAAACCAGATATGAATTATGTGCGATAAGAGCCGGAGTGCATTGGTGTCAAAAAACAAGAATGGAATGGTTCGGGGTTTGGAGATTTTGAGACTTGAGGTCGCACTTTCGAATACCCTGACTGATCTATCTCGCAGTTGCCGATGGATTTACGATCGTGTTAGGATTCGTGGTTTCGAAATCCGTTGGCTGAAACCAGAAATGGGTGGTCTTCATATTCAAACTCAAATGCTTTCTTTTTAAAACCCCCATCAATCCTTTCAAATTTAAACGCAGATTATTAAAGAGGTCAAATCAATCATATGCTTCTTAATTAAAGCGTTTAATTCTATTGATAAAGCATTTCCCTTCTATACTTTACAGACCTTCACTATTCTTGTAAAGCTCTTATAGATAATGTGTTTTGTACTAAGCATATTTTAAGGAATGCATTTTAGCCGTTAAGAAAATCAAGAAAATCTTCTCTAATTGCAATTTTAAAATAAGATGAACATAAGACAAAGGGCATGTGGAGCGCATTAGCAACCTAAGCCAAAGGGGATCTAATTTTATATTTAAATATTCAATGTTTATCCTTAAGCTAATACCATATTTAAGTATTATGCCACTCATATTTAAATAAGAAATTATTACGGCTTAACATGGATCTTCGACTTACATGCATTGGTTTTTGCAGAATCGATTTCGAAGCCGCCTTCTAAAGATCGTATATGATTCTTCGAGGTCCCAGGAGTATTTTCCAATATTACTAAATAGTTAATATGTTTTAATGGTTTCATATCAAGGTGGCAAATTAATTCTTCTACTCACATACTTAAGGTTTCCAGTTTCTTATGATATACTGTTTTCAAAGATCATCAGACTTTGTGCCCACCTCGATGAAGAGTATTCCAAGTTAGAACGCGGATGAAGTGCACGGTGTGCAGAGTGCAGCGCCGAAGCGGTCGGTCGGCTGCATATAATATGAGCACTATGCTATATAAGCCACACCAGATCCGATCAGCTGGCCCCTGCGCCGACTCCGACGCCGACGCTGGCAGAGGCAGAGGCAGTGACTTCGACTGCGACTGCGACTGCGGCCAGTTTTATGAATGAACGAGTGCAACTGCAACGGAAAAAGAGACGGGTGGAAGCGGCTTGTGAATGGCAACGCGGGATCGAACTATTGTAATTACTACGAGATTATGCAAAATGCATATGCAATTAGTGGCAACTCCCCTCCGCCCCTTCATCTCTGCAATTCTGAGTCATGGGGCAACTGGTTTGACTTGACTGGCGGCCTGAGAACCTCAAAAGCTGAACACCGAACACTGAACATGCCGAGAACAAGTACAACTTCGAGTACCCGCACTCAGTACTCAGTACTCGGTACTCGGTACTCCAGCATGAACTCATGTGATTGGAATTTCTGAGCCGTTGCCGTTGCCGATGACGAACCACGAGTCGAACAGAAGCTCTAGAAGATTGTCGCTCTAATGTCGCCGAGATGCAGATGCAGATGCACTTGCCTTGCCTTGCCTCGAATCAAAACGAAACGAAACGAATCAAATCCAATCGAATCGAATGGAGTGGAGTGGAGTGGAGTCGAGTCGAATCACACACATAAATCCAGCGACGAGCCATTGTCCCTCGTTTGTCCAACATGCACATTCCACTCTTTGAAAAGCGATCAATGCCAAGTCAATAATGAAACGATGCCGATCGGCCGCGGAGGAGAATATAAATTTCTGGCCTATCAGTTGGCTCCGTAAAAGACCAGGGTACCCGGGTACCAGGGCACCGAAAACACTGATAATAATGTCGCCTGCGAGAAATTCCTTTAGCGGCATTTAGGGCCACTTAATTATGACCCCCCCGCGTGCCTTCGCCGTCGCCATCGCCTTCGCTCGGAAAGCAAAGAAGGGCCCAATCCTAAATTCCTGGAATTTCGACTTTGGCTCTTGTTAAATAACCAACTGCTGTATTTGTTCATGTCGCCGGCCCTTCACTCGGAGAAAATGGGGCATGCATTTCGGGAAATGCGTTTGGAATGCATTTCGAAGAGGTCATCACTACGCGATTCAAGGCATTTAATATTTCCCAAGGGAAGAACATAACTGAAAGTTGAATGATTAAACAGGTAGTTGTATAAATAAATACTTGTGTTTAAAATTATTTTTTATATTCTGTTTATTTTTCAGGAAACCAATAATTGTATTTTCGGTAAGAAGTGCCAAAATCAGGAAGCTAATATAAATATTTAAATTGAAACATATATTTCTTGAATAAGTATAATCAACATAGTATTTAGGAAATGGTTTTTCTAAATTTATCCAAGTGTTCGCCCACTCCAATCCTGTTCAGTTATAGCAACTCTGCGTTTTTTATGGCCTGGCCTATGATTGTCCTCAAAATTGGCAAGCCAAAGAGTGCTCCAACATCATAATCCAGGATCCGAAGATGGCAGACGAGATCGGGGCTCTGGGAGCCTTGGTTCGATGAACCAATTAGATCAAACAACTTACACCACACCACGCACACACACACACACACCTTGGCTGGGTGCAACAATACAACAACAGGGGAAGACTGGGAGAACAACAAAAAAGAATTCTTTACGAGCTTCGCTCCGGTGCACGGTCATCAAGTCAGCTCGTTCAACATTCAAGAGGCATCGATGATAATATTCATTCATTTGATCAAACCGCCGACGATGTCGACGGACTGGAGATGCAGACGACGATGGAGACGACTTTCATTATGGGCCTGGGTCTCCATTCCCCATCTCCCCTTCCACCAGCCTTTGGAGCTTCAGACTCCGCACTCCCCACCATCATCAACCGCCTCCTTCTTCTGGGCGGCCGCCCAAAACGCAGTCGAAAAGCAAAGTCAGGAACGGCGGGGGAAATACGAAAACATATTGCCAAAGTAGCAGCAACAGCAAAAGCAACTACGGCAACATCATCGGCCAACAACAGCAACACGAGCAATCTCAACAGCAGCATTATGCATCATTACACCTCAAGAAAAAGGATTGGACTGCAACAAAAATTAAAAATATTTATAAATTAAATATGTTAAAGTATGTGATTCTAAATAAGATATTTGATCAGTTGCTATATTTAATATGGTTGTTGCAAATAATTGCACTCATTTGGTTAACTGGTGTTTGATCTGAGATCAGAATACCATTCATTAGTTCAAGTTATTGGATTTTGGCGGTAAACTTTCATTAAATAAATTCTATAAAACTAAGTCCTTTAAGGACAACTCTCCATTTCTAAAAAATATTTTCCTGACATAGTTTTGAAATGCTGAATATTTCCTTTAATGGTTTAGCACTAGATTGGTTATTTTCTAGCAGTGCACTCAATCGACACATTCACTTATAGGTCTCAAAATCGATGAGAAAAAGGAATATGTTGAACGGGCGGTGGCGGCGTTCGCTTGTAGCACGGCTCAAAACTGCTGTCCGCTGTCCGTCCGTCCGTCCGCTCACACACACGGGCACACGGACACGGGCACACCTCCACACACTCAGCACACGCACCCCGAAGTGCATGTGTATGCAGACGAAGCAAAGACCTCTTTTTAATGTATTGCAATTCCAAGAATTTAGGAAGAGGAACGTGAGAAACTTTGTTTTTGTTATTTTCTTTTCTTTGCATTTCATTTCAAGATACGATGCCGATCTCTGACTCCCTGCCCCGCCCCCTTTTCCCCTGCGCCCTCGCCCTCGCCCACTGGCGGTGTTTACGTCTCGGACGTCCAGGTTTCGTGGGTTTGCAGCGGAGCTGCTGGCCTGGCTATCAAATCTGGCTTATTTTTGTGGGGTTCGCGCTCGGGAATATCCTTTGGAATATTTTCTTGATCTTGAAAAACCCCATTTCGAGAAAGTAATCCTTTATAAATTTGTAGCCAGTGCCAAGGAATACCATCAACACCTTTGAGTTTATTCACAGAATATTCAAAAATAGATTCACCTAACCCAAAATGCAGTTTTCCACATTGCAAGCTGAAATACACAAACGAATTTACATATCTTCAAACAAATGTTTACCAATAAAATACATTTTCAACTGCTATAAATGGTGATGATTGTGCTTGTCTACTTCTTAAAATAGAACAAACACTTTTGTTTAAATATTGTTTTCGAAATTTTATTTCGCAAAAAAACTTGGAAACTTGGTGATTTTATTCTGAAAGCTACTATCTGTTCAAAATTATAGTAAAATGCTAACTAGAGGTTTTATATTGGGAAGGTCCTTTTTAAATCAATTATTTAAAGTTTTAGATTTTTAATGGTTTAACATTATTAAATTGTTTTTAATTGTAATGAATGTATATTTCTGAGCAAAAGGATATTGTTGAGTTATAAGAAATATTTCCACGATTATCAGGACTTAATGATTTCAGATTAGAAAATGTTTGAGTGATTATGAAAGTGGTCATATTCTTCTTGGGACTAAAGCTTGGAATCAACCTTTTTCGAGACTCCAAATGGTCATTTCTGGGGGCTCAGGCTTTCGTATCCGAAAGTCGCCGAGGCATCTTCGTCTTGGTCTCCTCGTCGGTGGACTTCGTTGCCTCCGTTGGCGTTGCAGTTTGCAGTTTGCAGAATGCCCCAGACCCAGACATTCATATTGTGTACACTTAAGATTCTTTGTGGAATTTCGGTGCAGGAGTTGTTTGGCGGGGGGTTCGGTGGGTGGTAAGTGGTGAGTGGGCCAGACGCGTGGTAGTGTGTGTGTGTGAGTGTGTGTGTTGGTCCGAAGTTCGAGTGCTCGAGTGTCTCTGTGCGAGACTCGCAGACTTGGCTAATAAAGCCGGCGACAGGAGAAAGCCAAATTCCAAGAGCACAACATTGTAGCACTCTTGGGTGGTGCCGAAGTAAACAACGCTTCCTGGGCGGAGGAGGGGCTCCCCTTTTGGGGCAGGGATCTCCAGTGGATTTGCATTTAGTTATTCTGTTTGCCCGACAATCGTTTTCCCTCTGCATTCGCAGTCGCCGCGATTTTCGCCGAGTGTATGCGTGTGTTTGCTGGTGCGTGTGCTGCACACATTTCTTTTTGGGATGCCGCTGATCGTAACATGGATGTGGATGTGGTTGTGGATGAGGATGAGGATAAGGTTGTGCCTGTGGATGTGTGGCTGCCTCCGGAATGTGCATACTTTTTTCCTTCCTCCATACCCATTGGTCAACGACGGGCAAGGATAAGATGTGCTTTAGCAAAGAATTAGACATCCCCCATCAAAATATGGAAAAAGATCCATAATAACAAGAATAATAGATTTTATTCTTTTATACATAATTCTCTTTTAGTCTTAATCAAATTGCAAATTGTTATATCTACTTTTCGCAAAAGTATTATTACATCATATATAGTTTTCTTCTGTTGAACACCACATGATTGAAATACTATTCCGTACCAAAAACGAAATATTGCTGGAAATGAATGGATCGACCATTTATCGGAGGGTACTCCCCATTCGATCCTTTTGGTCCTTCCCACATCAGCATTCTTGCCGTTTTGGCTTGCTTTTCTCGACTGTTTTGTATTCTTTTTACCTTTTTACTGTGTGGCGCAGGGCAGCAGCGACAAAATAGCAGAATCCTGTTGCCATGATCGTTAACAAGATGCCAAGACAACGCGAGGGGGGCGCTTTCAGGGGCGGAACCAGGGGGGTTCTTAAGGGGAATATTGGTGGAGGAATCTGGAATCTGTGGGAGCCTCGAAAATGTTGGCGGCAGCCAAATTAAATAGGCGCAAGCGCTTTGAGTTAGCCACGAGTTGTCCAGAATCCAGAATGGGATTTCCAACTCATGGTTGTTGCTGTTGTTATTGTTGTTGTTGAATTTTTTGTATTGTTTGTTATTGGTGTGTTGTTGTTGTTGTTATTGTTCAAGTGTTGTTGGGATGTTGTTAAGATGTTGTTGTACTGTTGGTGTACTTTATGGTGTTGTTGTTGGTGTTGCTGTTTTTGCGAGTTGATTGTCCTCTCCCCTCAAAGTTTTTGGCCTGAGCTGCCAGGAATGCTGCCTTACGGGTAGAAAGAGAGAAAATCTTCTCACCTGAGAAAGGTGAAGAGGCGGAGGGGAAGGGGGAGGGGAGGGGAGGGTTTCTACAGGGGGGAGTGCCGGGACCCGCTGCAAGCCAAGGATCGAGATGCGGTCCGTTCTTGTTTTTCTTTTGAATTTCAGCTTTGTGTGCTGATTTTTTGTTTTTTTCGGCGGTGTCTGTGGCCAACTACTTGGATTTCTCACATGTATATGTGAGTACATCCTCATGACTGGCCGTGCAGTAAGAAAAATAAATTGGTCCTAGACTAAGGATAAAGCAAAGGACATTTTATATGTTGAAATAATATTTTGAATGCTGATATTCAGTTTGATATGTCTTTTTAGCACAGGTTCCCTATATGTACTGCCATTGTTTTAAACTGAATTATGAATTTTAATATCCTTGATTCTGTAGTTCTAAAACGGTTAAAATACCTGAAGTTGCAATTGCTTAAAATTCTGTCATATCTTAAATTTAAGTTAGTTTAAAAATTATTTCATCAGGATGCAGAAAAATGATCACAAGCTTTTTTAATAAGTTGTATGACGTCTTCAACACATTTTGTTAACTCAGAATTAAATTGAAGTCATAAATTCTTTAAAGATAGTCAATAAGACAAAGTGTGAATTTGGAGTTTCGAAAGGATATCTTCCGGAGTACTTTTCGTTTCTCGCAGTGCTTGTATGCCGTTCATTATGATTATTTTGTTTGGCTGCCTTTGGCCTGTGCAAAAATCCGCACATAATCTGGCAAAACCAGTAGAACAACAACACCAAAGGATGCGGACAGCTCGGCTCATTTATAATGTGTGTGTCTGGTGTGTGTGTGAGCCAAGGCGCAAAATCCCTATCCTCACTTACAAACCTCTCCGCGCCGTCCGTCCGTCCTTCCATTTGTCCGACTGTCTGGCTTTTTATCTTTTTTGGGATTTCGCCTTTTGTCCTGCTCAACGCATTCGAGTTTTCCCAGAAATGTTAATTATAATACTCACAAACATACATAATTACTCGCATTTCGCATTTCGATGCCCGTAGTTCCCATCTCCCATATCCTGTTTATGTGGCTCTGGATTTCGTACGCCGATTGTCCATTCTCGTTTTTCGCATTGCGTTTATTAATGCGCCAAATAAATTTGCATGCCATGCACATTTTTTCGCCGTTCATTAATGCTTCTTGTTTATTTATTTTGAATATATTCTGCACTTTTTCGGGGTTTGGGTTGGGCTTCGGTCAATGAAAAGGGTTCGGTGCGTGTGAATTGTGCAGATAGTTAGGGGAAGTACGTCTGTGCAATATGAAGGGAGTGTCATTTCAAGGATAGAATTCTTGGTGTCTAATTATTATGGCCGCATTGAATTTCTTTTGGTTGAAATGAGATAATGATTTTAATTAATATATTTAATTGTAATGTTTAAAGAATGTAGGTTGAGCATGAAACTATCAACTCTTTAAGCTTTATTTAACAAAATATTTTTTTGTTGCCCTGCATCCTTCGGTAAATTAGTAAACATACATTGGAAGCATGCTTCCTCGAAATTTTTATTTATTTGTATTTGCATTTTTGTATTTTTTTTTTTAATGCAATGTAATAATATTTTAGGGATTTATTAATTTCGGTTATTAAATTTTTTTCATTAAACCAATGAATAATTATAAATAATAAAAATGTTGAAAAATGTGTGCGAACACTTTAAGCTGTCTTACATAATTAGTGTAGTAATTAATTAGCCCAACTAATCAACAAAATGGAATTTGTCAATCGATACTTAGCATTTAATTGCTTAATTGACACAGAAAAATCGAAAACAAATGCAAGGCAAAAGCAATAAAGTTTAAACAATTTGTTACAACGCAGTTTTTAAGTTTTTCTATAAAAGTTTATAATAAAATCGCCGCCATTATGTTTTTGCCGCCCCCTCCCGTCCCCCAGCCTCTTCCCTCACCACCCCTTTTTGCTATTCTCCCACTCTCCCAAAAACTTAAGAGCGCAATTCGAAGCCCTCCCACTTTCCCCCCGCAAAAACAACAACAAAAACAACAGCAAGAATGTCAAAAACTAACAAAAACCTTGACGACGTCTCTCGCAAACACGCACACTACTAAATAATGCCAATTGATCGCTCACTCTCTCGCAAACACACACACTGGGGCGCCAATTTATCACCTACTCACTCACACACACACAGCCCCCACACGCCCAATGTGCAAGTGTAGGTGCTCTCTTTCGGGCATACACCAATACCAATGCCAATACTAATCGCCGTGGAGCCAACAACAACAACAAGAGAGCCGATCACGTATTGCGCAGATACGTGAGCGTGAGATTCGAATTTGGAGCGAGGGAGCGGGTGGAGTGGGGAGAGCGGCGGTGGGTGGCAGGGGGATGGGGCTTGGGGGGGCCAACTAAGGCCACCCTTCCAGCAAAGCGATAATGAACGACCAAAGCGACAAAGAGCGAGGGAGAGAGAGAGAAAACCAGTACCCGTGGCACGTCGACCACATTCCAGGCTAAAGAGGTTAGACCTCTCATTTCATTCACAAATTCCAGCGTTCAAAGCCAGCGACGCCGACGCCGACGTCGACTGCGGCAGATGCAGAGGCAGCGACTGCATGTGTGGGGCCGCATTTTGGAGTTC